CCTTTCATTAATCATGAATTTACATAACTTCCGTCCAGGGGGCGTGTACTCCGGAAGCAACTTTTCATGACCTAAGATAACCTTTCATTAATCATGAATTTACATAACTTCCGTCCAGGGGGCGTGTACTCCGGCTAATAATGGAATATATTTCTGACTATTACTAGAAAAACGTATTAAATTAAAAACCGAATTGCTCGTTGTAGTTAAAAAAAAAACAACTTATCTTATTGCTGGAAAACTTGAGTAAATGTTCAGTCCGATTACAACAAGTAGAAGAATCCAGGCATGTCTATTTGGTTGTTTGTTGAAATTTCGCGCAAAGATTATTGAGGGCCATCTGCGTTAGCCGTTTTTAATTTTGAAATGATACACTTGAGGGCTAGTCAACATAACCCACCGCTAACTTTTCAGTTACTCTTTACCAAAGAATATATTGGGATTGACCATCACATTATAACGCTTCCACGTTTAAAAAGGCGAGCTTGTTCAGTGATGGTTTTCGATTTTGTGGGCAGTAGATTGCCAGTCGAACGCTCTAACCACCAGGCCATGCCATGCCCATCAGGCCAGGCCATGCGCCTACCGTTGTACGAATTTAAACCAGAAATCATACACACACACACACATACACAAAACGGGAGTGGGTTGTCGCATGATATTGCTTGAATTCGGCTATACATAATTAACTAGGGCTTAGGAAGGTTTGTTTATTCGTTTTTGTTGTTAGGGGCAAAGCTGTACCCACCGAAGGGATCGAAACCCGTCATTTAACGTTACATTTAGAATGACAAAAAAAAAACTGTTGACCAGTTACCCCCCTCCCCCCCAAAAAATGTAAAATACACTTGTTCCAAATTGTTATTTACAACAATATTATAGTAGTGCCATAAAATTTAGGGAATAAACAAAACATAAATCAGCTAGACGAACGATTGTACAGCTTTTATTTGTCTATTTGAAGTTCAGAACAAAGCTACACAATGGGGTATCTGAGCTGTATCGAAACCCGGTTTCTTAGCGTTGTAAATCTGCAGACATGCCGCTGTGCCACTGGGAGGGGCGTTTGTACAGCGTGTTTCTTCGGTTGATAAATATTCAAGCAACCAAAGAAGTAAGCAGTGTAACCCTTCTAATCTATACGCGTCGTTCTTTCTCTCTCTTACAAATATCATTTCTACTTCACCTCGTGCTTTATTACCGTCACTACTAAACTTTTATTGACCCTGTAGGGAACTCTTCGATTTGTTCACGTCACTCATGCCCATGATGAATGGACCTGTGGCCTGTTATAGCACGTGACTAATTAGATAGTTCAAAAAGAGCCCGAGATACAGGAGGACAGTTGTTTTTATGGGCCCAATAGTTGGTTTGTAATCAAAATGACTAGTTAGTGAGCGATAAAGGGGCCTGTCGACAAGGGGTCTTTAAACGTCCAATACGACTTATTACGTTAGTCATGTAATTTAAGTGTTGTTTTTTAGATTAAAAGCTAACGAGCCTTACATGGCACACGGCAGTTTGGTCACGTCTAGAACTGTTTATAGGCTGTATGAACTCGTGCAGTTTGGTTTATTTGTTTGTTTTTGAATTTCGCGCAAAGCTACACGAGGGCTATCTGCGCTAGCCGTCCCTAATTTAGCAGTGTAAGACTAGAGAGAAGGCAGTTAGTTATCACCGCCCACCGCCAACTCTTGGGCTACTCTTTTTACCAACGTATGGAAACACGATAGTTATAACAATATAAATGTGTTGAATTATTATACTAACACATATCTATGCACACAGAAGAACATACTTGGTTATTGTAGCTATATCGAATCCTTTATCAATATAATCCTTCCCAGCAGGCACTGCTACAGATAGGATTAGTTTATCTTTGCCAAAAGGAGTTCTCTCGTTATCAAAAGCTTCACGGGTTTCCTGTAACCAAACAGAACGAACTTACAAACAACAAATTATATTCATGCATTCATCTTCTACCCTGAAAGTGAATATACTTATAAGTTATTTTAGGCTTAATATTCATTTATAAAAGTGAATATACTTATAAGTTATTTTAGGCTTAATATTCGTTTGTAAAAGTGAATATACTTATAAGATATTTTAGGCTTAATATTCATTTATAAAAGTGAATATACTTATAAGATATTTTAGGCTTAATATTCGTTTATAAAAGTGAATATACTTATAAGATATTTTAGGCTTAATATTCATTTATAAAAGTGAATATACTTATAAGATATTTTAGGCTTAATATTCGTTTGTAAAAGTGAATATACTTATAAGATATTTTAGGCTTAATATTCGTTTCTAAACATTGATGGCCAGTCGTGACTCAGTAAATATTGCTTTAATGCAAAAACAACAACATCAACAACAACAAAATGCAGACAAAAACATCTGGCTTATTAAATACTGACTAAATAAAATAAATAAGTATGATAAAATTGTATCCATTTTCAAAGTCTGACGACCCAGTTTTGGGTTGAGACCCATGGGTTAACAAACGCTGCTATAAACCACAGATATTAATGAACTAAATTTATTTTAAAGTCAAACAAAGCTGATACACTACACGAAAACTTTATAAAGCTATGAAAAAACACACATACACGAATATCATTTCAGGATATAAAGTTGGATAAAACACACCATCCTAGAAAAAACATCTATTTTACCTGCGTTACGAACGTGTATAAAGTTTCTGTGCTTAGGAATCTTAGGCTTACTGGACATGAACCTCGAAATCAGTGACGTAAATATGCCCCTGCAAGTGAACTGCAGGGGGGAAGGGCGAGCCAAAAGGGGGCCCGAACGGCCTGACATACTGAAGAATTGCCCATAAAGGGAGTAAATATAGAGAGCCCAATTACTTATATGTAGGGCGGTCATATTTTCTAGTTACGTCACTGGTCAACATTAAGTTAAAACAAGCACTATAGCAGTAGTTTTTGTGACTACCTGCGAAAGTTTGTTGACAACTTTTAACAGATTAAATTAAACCGTGTTTAGAACGGGAGTGGTGTGATCACGTGTGTGAAAGTCATGCCATTCGTGTATGATCTTACGGTGTTTACAACGCTTTTTAAACACGGGTAGAACACTAAAGAAAACATTATTTATTCACGCGCGTGTATGTTCTTATGGTTGAAATAATAATGGCTAGAGGAAACAAATAGTACATTTATTTATTTCAAAAAAAAGTGGTTATTTATACGAGATTGAAAAGAAACACGTGAAATGACTTAATTAAAAGTAGCATGTCGTCGGACAGGGCGATCTGGCTCTCTAAAATGTCACTGCTCCCCCCTTTCCTCGAGACTGCCCGTTATTCCCCGAGTTACATACTCTCACCAACAGTGGACAAACTACAATAAACGTTCTTGGATAATAGCCTAAGACTGCTCACCACTTTCCTCGAGACTGCCCGTTATTCCCCGAGTTACATACTCTCACCAACAGTGGACAAACGACAATAAACGTTCTTGGATAATAGCCTAAGACTGCTCACCAGTCTCTAAAATGTCACTGCTCCCCCCTTTCCTCGAGACTGCCCGTTATTCCCCGAGTTACATACTCTCACCAACAGTGGACAAACTACAATAAACGTTCTTGAATAATAGCCTAA